TTCTTTAATATTTGCTTATTTTGTGAAAATCTGTTTTCCTTCGGTCTAAAATATTCATTAAAATGAAACTATCTTAGAAGGTTAGAGGGCAAATGTCGAGACTGTCCTCCTCAAAAAAACGACCACATAGGTCGTTTGTACAAGCGGCGTATTACGACCGCCTGTTACGTTTTAAACCTAAGCAACCTCGCTAGTGGTTGAGTAAATATCGACACTCCGGTGTCTCAGGTGACCCGTCGTCACCATATGAACTTTGACCTTCGTCACCAATCAAAAAACAACATACTCAGAGGGGGAGGAGCTTCATTGAAATCATTTCGTAATTGAACGTTGTAGCATTGGTAAGTCCGACAAGTTTGTATATTTAATTTTATTTGCTTATGTTTTATATTAAAGTAATCGATTACTTGCAATTCATATGTAGCTGAGTTTGTTTATTTTGACGTTTTAGTTACAGATCAGTTGTGAATGATATAAATGACATATGATTTTACCAATAAGACGATAACGTTAGCTCACATGCTAATATCCTAGCTAGTTAGTTTACATCTATACATGTAATCCCTTAATGACCCTGCATCTGAAATAACGTTAACTGTACACGCAAAACTGAAGGTGTCTTGCTCAAAACAGAATTAGTTTGTCCTGTAAAACACTAACAAGACTGGTTCACTGCCCCGTTATTAGTAGAAGGTTACATAGATTAAATAAACAGTAAAGAGAAATTACTTTTAGCCAACGGGGTTAAACTAAATTCTGTGGGACTTCCGGCTTGGCGAAACATGGAGTAAGCAGTGCCGTAGAATATAGTCCAAAATGCTTGTGCGTCACGTGACTCATGTAGACCTCGGATAGTTCCCGGAAGTTACTGGCGGGCCTTTTAAATACATAATACTGAAAGACAGAACTTTGGAAATGAATGTCGACATGTTTTATATGTCAGGTAATGAATATGAATAAAGTTGAATAAAAAGATTAAACAAATTTGTGTGACAATGTTATGTTTTGTGCTTTTTAACAGTCAAACCAGTTGGGGTCATTTTTTACCCCAGAGGACAAGGCACATTACTATTTGCTGCCATTTAAAAAAAAAATGAAAGGGTTAAAAAAAAAACCTAACCCTAACCCTAACCCTGATGGAAGTTTGACATATACCAGTCTCTGATAATCCATCAACTTATTTGCATTCTATCTTTACTATATTTGAAATTATTAAGAATTTCTGTTTTGTAAAACTCAAAAAATAGGTATAATTTCATATAAATGAGGTATGAATTACAAAAAAAGTGTAAAATTGGTATTAATGGGTTGGTCTCTAGTTGAATAAAAAGATGAAACACAAATTTGTATGATAATGTTATGTTTTGTGCTTTTTAACAGTCAAACCAGTTGGGGTAATTTTTGACCCCAGACGACATTAACGTTACTGTGTTGGGAGGGAATTATGAGGGTTTAGGTAACAGCATTAGAAATCACTCTGTAAATTTCCATTGTTATGCGGATGATACACAGTTGTATTTATCGATGAAGCCAGAAGAAAGTAATCAATTAACTAAACTTCATAATTGCCTTAAAGACATAAAAACCTGGATGAGTACCAATTTCCTTGGGCTCTAGTTTCCCGGCGCAGCACAGGGTGGCGCAGGGTGGCGAACCCCGTGCAGAGCTAGTTTCGAGCAGCGCAACCCGAGGCGCGCTCTTTTAAGCAAGACAAGACTTCACTAGAATAAATAAAAAGGGTTTATCACAAGATGCAAACCATTGGTTAGCCTTAAAAATGGAAGGCCAGATTAGAGTTTGTCAAAAACCATCTAAAAAGCCTGTACAGTTGTGGAACAGCATACTATGGACAGATAAAACAAAGATCAACTACCAGAATGATGGGAAGACAAGAGAAGGAAGAAGGGAAGGAACTGCTCATGATCCAAAGCACACCACCTCATCAGTGAAGCATGGTGGAGGTACTGTTATGTCATGGCCATGTATGG